CCAACAACTGGAATAAAAGTAAAAGGAATCTATGGAGCACTGCAACACAACCCTAGCTGGATGCACCAGATCTAAATCTAAGTAATAATGTTCACAGCATCCTTTTCCCAGAAAATGTAATTACAGCAAATGTTGCGATTTTTAACTATTTGGAGAAGATTAAATTCTATTGTACAAGAGATTTTTCCAGTTACCTTTAAATGTAGTTTAATATATCTCTCACTACAAAATGGCTCCTCTGTTTACCCTTGTAACCTCTAGAGATTCCAAAACAAAGTGATTGCTTCTGCTAAAGTTTCAGGGCAATGCTTATCTTCAGTATTAACATAGTTTCTCCTGCCTGATACATCATTAGATGATGTTTTGTTCCTTACTTCTCCCCTCATAGTATCCTGTAAAATGGTTCCTGGATCCATTATTGTTAAGTACACAACTGTCATTACAATATTTCAAAAAATTAAATCATTGGTTGTGAAGTGTTTTCTCACACCCTTATTGGCATGGCTACAAAAATAACCTGTGGGCTCCAAACAGATTTTCTTTAACCTGGATGAACGCCACCTTTGATCTGTCATGTGTGCCTTTCAGGCAAAAAAAACCCAACATGGTGACATCATGTCTCCAAACAGGATTATTTATTTTTGAAGAAGGTAAACAATGCAGAGAGTGAGGGTATAGGAATTCTGGATTACTCGACAGAGGTGGCATGGACCTCATGGGCTGAATGGTCTCCTTCTGTGCTGTATGGCTGACTCCTGTTTGCTTTTAAAAGTTTTGACAACTGCCAAAACCTCTGGCCCTCATTGGCATTGCAGAGCTATAAGTAATACCAGTTATACTGGTCCAAATGCCATTCTGGAATGACAGTTGAAGGAGTTTCATAAATTCTGTAACAACAGGCAATAATTGGATTGTCAGACAATTGTGGTCTGAATTTCCTGACTCCATCCTACTGAGTCAAATGCATAAGTATATACATGAATTGGGAGGGTAGAAGAACTTTCAGGGTTTCCAGTTTAACTGATGGTGCTGTGCTGCCACCTGTAGGTCACCCATGACTCAGAGGTAGCAAGCACTCCTGCTGATACGTCAAAATGTTCTGGAATCCACTTGAGACTATAGCATTTCATGCAATTGATGTTGACACTCTGGGATAATACTGAGGTTGCAGAATTATCCAAGGCAATGTATTTCCGATGAGATTTATACTGAGGCTCTATATGCCCTCAGGTGGATGTAAAGGGTCCCATGGCATTATTTTGAAGACGAGTAACAGCATTTTCTTGGTATCCTGTTCAATATCTTTCCTTTAACATCGCTTCAAAATAGATTATCTGGTCACAGTCACATTACTACTTGTGGGAACATTCAGTGTGCAAATTGGCTGCCAAGTGCCTTGCAATACAACAGTGACTACACCTCAAAGTACTTCATTAATTATAAAGCAGTTTGCAACATTGAGGTTGTGCAAGGTGCTATAGAAATGTTCAGGATAACCCATGAAGTTAGATTAATGAATGTGCAAAGGAATTTTTTTTTTGTTGTTACTTTCTCAGTGGGCTACACAGTCAGTGATCAGAAAGGAGGAGGGATGGTTTCAATATTATGTAGAAGAATTGAATCTCCAAGTATTAAATGTTACACAATGGTAATAAGACTGACTTCATGTTTAAGAATTCTAGTGGTACAAGTACAGATTAGTCAAATATTAGCATTAAGGTATACACTGTCTCATTCTCAACTTTCAAAATATTTATGGATGACCTTTTTAAGTTCTGTTAATATTGTATTTATAGCATATACTATTATCTTCAATTTTTGGCTGCTTATTTTTATGTATCAAAAGATATTGCAATGAGCCATCTTTCTACATTCTCTGGAAAGAGCAGTACTGGGGGTACTCATAACTTCATGGCTACTACATGCTGGTCCATTTATATAATGATTCATGCATGAGCTTTCTTTTTGAATAATGGTAATTGTTATTACATGTGTAGATCAAAGAACAATTCTACATCAGTGTCCCAATAATCTGTATCATATGAAAGCTAGTCTACTATTGTTTCATTGTGGGATAAACATGGAATGTCTTCAGGTAGTACCAGAGAATCTTTTAACATCCACTTGAACCATCAAAGATTATAGAAGGGGCCTCTGTTTAACATCTCTACAACAATGCTGCACACTTTTCAAACTACAATAGAGTATGAGCTGAGAATTTGAATTGAAACCCAGAATAGTTGTTATAGTTCCAAATAAACAAACTGAGTTTCATTCTGAGAGTCTATAACCTGGCTGATGTGGGAGATGGGAAAATTTCAGGTTAAAACTGTAGCTTTTTATTCTGGACACCATTTACAATTTTTGAACATTGTACAAGTAATTTTATTTTCCATCTTTGCTGTACAAAGGGTGCTGTATGATTCTGTGCAATTACTTTATGCTGCTAATTCAGTTGTATCAGATTTACAGTTTCTATTTTTTCTTATTAGGACTCTAGCTGGTACATTGGGCAGTCTCTCAAAATTACCAGATGGATCAGTTGCTCGACAAGTCGGTTTTCCTGCTGTCTCTTCCCGTGCAAAACTCTATCCTGAAACATGGATTTCAATGGAACTATCAGAAGATTTCATTCAAGTGCCAGTTTCCATAGAAGACAAAAGCTATAGAACTGTGTATAATCTTTTCCACAAAACAATACCAGAAACCAAATTTAGGATTTTAAATATACTGAGGGTACAAAATCCATATCTTTGGGAAAAATATAAAAGGTAAGAAGTTGAATCAAAAATGTTATATCCAGTCACTAAACTTGCATTTGAACTGTGAATACTGGTCACTGTTATGGCGAGTATAGAACATAACTCAGCATTTATGATGTGCAGTATCAGGCCTGTTTTTATTACTGGTCTATTTGTACATTTTGATTTTGTGGTGCAGAGATACCAGAAACAAACCTTTAGATCACGCAAAAGTAGTTCCCATACTAGCAGTGCACATTTCAATTTTTTTAAATACCCAATCTGTTCAGTGGAAGATGAAAGATTGATGCTGAGTCATATTGCTTGTCTTTTTGTTGAACTTAATTGCATCCTTAAGTTGCAAAAATGTATTAGAAATTGTGATGTTTCCAAATGTATGAGTGACTCTGTGATGAGGTGACTTGATTTACCTTTTGTACTAATTGCAGCTTACTTTTGAGCTGCTTTGATCCAAGTTACATTGTTGACTTGCCGCAATACCTGTTTGTACTGCAGTACTCGCTTGTAATGGATAATTTTTTTGAATTTCCACTCGGCCAAGATACTTGCCTACTAAGAGCAGACATCTGAAATTCTGGAGCAAGCTCATCTAACATTCTAACCAACTAAACATGGTGTGTGCTCTCTCATTTTTTTTGTCATATGTAATGTCAACATTCACAGCTCACTATCAACTGTGTGATGTCAGAAAATTTTAGTCTTGTTAGATAGTAATGGACTAGAGCAGAAGATTTTAACCCAGGCAATAAAGGTACCTAAACATTACAGAGAAATGTGTATGATATTGCACATTGGTATCCTCCATTTGCTGCTAAGGTATAAAATTGCCACAGTGGATTGGTGACCCATTATAGAAACTACCAAGCTTTCATTTTGAGTTGAAAGTCAATGAAAACGAAGACTGGATGATCTGTAATGCTAAATTGACACTAACAAGCACTGATTTATTATAGCATTACAAGTGAAAACACATACTTAAAGTGAAAATCATCAGGTTGGAAGTAGTATAGAATTATTCTTCAAAGTTTAGCTTTAAAACTGAATCATGTTCAACCTCGTGTGCAACCCTTTAGTCTGATAACATAATATGGATCAAAAGTCATGGACTAATCTTTGTCAAAACTCTAGTATAAATGGGGAAGTTGGGAAGAACCACGTGTTGTCTGAAAGTGAATTCTGGATGACTGATGTCCGTAGAAATGGTAGTAAGCTTTTGTCACCTGGACCATAATACTTCCTAAATGCTGAAAAATTAGGAATGGAGGTTCAAAATGACTTTTGGACCTATGTACACATCCATTGGATGTAATGGACAGGTATAACATATATCCAAAAGGTTAGTAGACGCTGGCCTTTTTTAATTTAGAGGACTGGAATACAAGGGTTCGTAGCCAAGTTGCAGCAACGTAGGAAGCTACAGTTACACAACACTTGGAGTACTGTGTTCCATTCTGGGCTCTTCATTTTTCAGAAATATTTTGGCATTGCGTGAATGCAGAGTACAGTTACTCAAACTAAACCTGGATCCCAAATTTTGAAGAGAGATGACATTAGCTAGGGTTGCATTGACCACATTGTAAAGAATTTGATTGAAGTTTAAGATGTTATGGGGAACTGATAGGATTGATAAAATCTAGGTCCCAGGGGACATGGCCTAAAAATTGGGACTGTTCAGGAGGGTACACAAAGGATGATAGATGTTTGGGCTTATCCTGTGCAAATGACAGTTGATGCTGGGTTAATAGTTAAGTTTAAAGCTGGTATTAATGAATTTCTGCTATCCAAAGGTATTAAGTAATATGGCCAAATACAGTATATAAAATTAGGACGAGTCACTTGTGAATGGTGATGCAGTGTTGAAGATCTTAAAAAGGCATACATCAATTCCATTGGGTTGGTTCCAATTGCATATATTTAGCAGTTAGAGTTCTTTTTGCTGTTATTTGCTAAAATACACCCTGGGAAATTTTAAGAGCCTGTTTTGTTGTATGGTGCATAGTAGTTTTGGACAATTCTAAATCCTGTTCACTGTTTTGTCTGTCTGTCTGTCCTGTTGAAAAGTGCTGTACAAAAGTAGTTTGTTCACCACAGGTTTGTCCAGTGCTTTGTTTTAGTTATGGAATTTGCACAAAGATGCACTACTTCTTAATCTTTTCTCTGGTTTTACCTTTCCTTTTTAGAAGGTAAACTTCATGTGTCATACAATAAATTTTTTTTTTTTTTTTTTTTTTTTTGCTACAGGAAAAAGGAGTACATGTCACGAAAGATGTCTGAAATGGACAAGATCCTTAATGAAAGACATCTATTTCATGGAACATCCCAGGATGTAGTTGATGCCATCTGTAAACATAACTTTGACCCCAGGGTGTGTGGAAAACATGCCACTATGTTTGGTCAAGGCAGCTATTTTGCCAGAAAGGCAAGCTATTCTCACAACTTCTCAAAGAAGTCACAAGAAGGTGTTCATTATATGTTCTTAGCAAAAGTCCTTATAGGGAAGTATACATTGGGCAAGCCTTCAATGCGGAGACCACCACCACAATCCCCTGCTGACCCTTCTAGTGACTTGTATGATTCATGTGTGGATAATCTGCTGGACCCTCAGATTTTTGTCATCTTTAATGATGACCAGAGCTTCCCCTACTTCATTATTCAGTATGAGGAAGTTGGAAGTATAGTCACTGTTTGATGGACAATGATTTAACAGTTATTACAAACAAAGACTGGAGATGCTACAATGAACTTGTCTACACACTATCGACTTTGAGGTCTTTATAAATGGAGTTACAGATAAACTACATGACTCTCTCAAATGACCACCTGATGTGAGACTACTGGATTTGCAGTTCCTTGACCAGTGTAAATAGTATAATACATTGCCTTGAAAATATTCAGTTGTTGATGTGCCTCTGCTTGTGAATGAGTGTATTTATATTGGAAAAAATGTTGCCCATTTTTAATTCTGAAGTATTTGAGAAAGTTGTATACTTGACCTGAATACAGCAGTTTTATTTTTGAATTGTCAGAAGCTGAAGTTGTGAAATTAAATGTTGAGCACTTTTTTAAACCAAAGTTTTATACTGAAAGACATTGCTCGTGATCTCAACAGGGTGAAGCAACTGCCACAAATACAAGGGACAAGTGCATTATGCTTACCTTACTTGCAGTAGATAAAATTTGCCACAAAAGTCATGTCATTCGCCACAAGGAAGGAAGTCCTTACCGTGAGAAAGAACCAACTGGGCCTTTCTCAGAGCTGTAAATTGTGGTGACTGCACTCTTGATCTCACTGACACACTCTTCACTTCTCAATCTTCTCTAACAATTTTCTTGGTCCAATTTTCTCCTCCACCAATAAATTGAGACCAACATATTGCTGTATGAAAAAGGCAGAACTGTACAAGTACATCTGTGTAATTCATTATTTGTAAATCGAGGAAATAAAAATGTTAAAAGCAAAAACATCCCATTAGTAAGTACCAAATACCCTTTTATATTCCTAGAATCTCTTAAAATCTTATTACCATTTCTTTACTACTTTTTTAGTTCACATTAATGAGAAGACTGCACAACCCTTCAAATAACAATGCTGACCTGCAGTGATGATGTGTATCAGGTTTTTAGTGTAAAATTTTGAAAGACTGATGTTTTAGAATCATTTGGCTGGAGAAACTTTGACTGTGCTGTGAAATATTCTCCATACTCCTTGCTTTGTTGACCAGATTCAAGGGAAGGCTTGCTTCAGTTACTGAAAGTGGGGTCAATGAGGTTTGAAAACATTACATTGCATTATGGGAGCAACTGTTTGTAGGGAAACCAATTACACCACTTCACGTAGTCTATTGGAGGCAGTGACATCTGGCTATTATGTCCTCGCAAAAATGTTAGGCCAGCAACAGTTGAAGTTAGATGGGATCTGCCTGACTCTAATGCAATACTGTCTCTCATTAAAGTGAAATAATTATTCCAAAATTGGCTTCATGACTTGCAATCGTCAGCAATCAGTAGTAGCTGATTAAAAATATTTTTTTAAAAATGTTGATCTGGGTAGGCATGCATATATTCTTAACTGTCCTAGGACCTCTGACAATAGAACAGGAGGACATTTGTTGAACCTGTTCCTTATAGGCACTTTGCACAGAGTGAACAGCTGTGACTATTAAAGACTAAACCCCGCAATTTGATTTCAATTACTTAAGAGTTAGAATTCGGTAATAATTACTTTTATAAACTTGAAAAATAAAGGCACACATAAGCCAAGTACAGAAGCATGATATACTAAAACAAAGTTATGCCTGATTTTAAAAAGTACTAATTTCTCCCATATTTGGGATATACTGTAATTATAGTTGGCACCATACAAGATCAAAAAGCCAGAGTTGCCAATAAAACAAAAGGGATAAAATTACTACTGGTTTGAGGAAGAGCATCCATATTGAATTTAAAAAATGGGTAATTGCAGAAGGGCACAAATGAGATAAAATGTAAAATCCTTTGGTTTTGATACATTTTACCAATTTACATGTCACTTAATTAAGCAAAGGCTAAATCCATATCCTGTATTTGGTTAAGTTGATTATGTATTTATTGCCAGTGAATTGAGTCTAAAATTGAGACTGATATAAAACTGCAGGTAGATCTGTGCATTTATATTGTTAAATTCGGTTTCAGACTGAAATTACACTGTTTTGAAACTTGAGTAATATCGCTGTGTGTTTTTTTTTTAAAGCTGTGAATGAGAGACCACCTTATCACGTCGGTGACAAATTCTTCTATTTGATCACCCTTCATATGGTAGAGAAAAGAATTTGATTTGTCAGTTAAGCATAGGTATGATAGGAAACTTCTCCCTATTGTTATGTGAAACTAAAAGAATTGGCCATTATTATATGCATTACTCCTTTGATATTACAGCACTTAATATTGGATGAATCACCAGTTTTTAATTGTCTTTGCCTTAAATTCTATAGAATACTGTAAAATCTTTGTACAGAAATAGGCTTGCGGCTTTTTATGACCACATTTTGCCACAAACCAATGCACGGATTGGTGAATTAATTTATCACGTTACAGCACAATTAGTTCCATTATTAGATGCATTTGTTGAAATGCATGTCAACTAAGTGTTTGCCTTAAATATATTTAAGGTTTTTTTTCCTTCCTGTTTCTAATAAGCCTGCATAGGTGCAAGAGAGAGTTTACCCAATTTATTTATTGGGGAAGAAAAAAAAAATCTCACATCCTCCATGCCAAATGTGTGGCCCTTTTAAAGGGAACAGGCCAAGTTTTAACTCTTAAGTAAACAAATTTTCATTGAGTTAATAGCTCTTCCAAGAGCTCTAGAATTATTGTATACCAATTGATGACACTGAGCTGTACTTACTGACTCAAGTGATTTTTAAAAAAAATGAAATAAAATTAGCCAACTTATTTCCTGACTAGCTTCTCCTGTTAATGTCTTAATTCAGCATCGTAAGGATGGCAGCATGATAATGTTTGTGTCATGCAGGTCAATTATAGGGCATTGTACCTTTTTGTGTTGAGCAGTTTTGGATGTCCAAAGTGCAAGTTGGAAGATAAAACTCATCTATCTGACTGTTGACCCTGACAAGATTAAGTACTGGGCTACGCACCTGGCACGATATTCCTACAGTCTGGTCCAAATCAATATTCAAAAAGATCTTTCGGTGAACCATTGTGTTTCCTTACAGAAAGGTTGAATTGTTTGATAAGTGAGAAAGTAGAGCTCACTGAAGATTTACTCCAGAGGACAGTGATAGCAGTAGAGATGCTATGCAGGTCACGGTGACCGAGGAGGGAACTCCTTCACTAGAAGAGTTCATAACTGATAGAGCACAGTGTTGGATAGACTGGTACTTAAAGTTGACAAGGCGCCAGGACTGGATGAGAGACAACCAAGGATTTTGATGAAAGTGACAGTGGAAATTGCAAGAGCACTGGCCACAATTTTACAGTCTTACCTAGCATTAAGGAAGGTTCCAGAAGATTGGAAAATTGTAAACGTTATGACCTTCTTTCAAGAATGGTCTGTAATTGCAGGGCTATATTCACAATCTCAGTGATAGGGACGATTCTAGAGACCATTTGAGATAGAATTAGTAGATGTAAAATGGTGGCTTAATTAGAAATCCATGCTGACTCTTCCTAAAGGGAAGTCTCAGTTAACTAACTTGTTGGAGATTTTTTTTGACGAGGTAATAGAAAAGCTCGATAAGGGCATTGTTATGTGGTGGCATAGATGGACTTTCAAAACATGCTTGATACAGTTCCACATATCAGAGCCTTTTTAAAATGCAAAATTTGTGATCCAGAAATTTTATTTGAATACCAAGACAATTTTTAACATGCAGGTACACACCTGTACTTGGAGAAGCCTGCTCCTGTGCAATTGTAGATTGAGAACATGGAGCATTTAATTTCAACTATTCATCAGTAGGTGAGCAGACAGGAATGTTTTATGAGAGTTTCAAAAAGGAAATTATGGGCCTCTCTTTACTAAATTTACTGCTTCTGCCTGACAATGTTCCTATACTAACCCCAGCCTGCGAATACTGGGACCATTCCTATGAGTACTTGATGATGAATTCCACCAAATCACAATGGCCTGGTCCTCAAGTCAATAAGCCTACTACCTATTACTCCTGCGGTAAAGTTTCATCTCAAGGTAAAGTCAGAACTCACAACCCTAGTATTATGCATTCTTAACTTTAGAATTCTAATAACATTAGATACTTTGTCACTTTCTTTCTTCTTTGAGAAGACAACACAAAATATTGGCAATGAACAGCATGTGCTTTTAATGTTGAACTCTCCTGTCCTGCCTTTTAGTAATGCATGCAAGCTGCCTGGCCATATTTTCTAATGCTATTCAAATGTGCTTGATATTGTAATACATTGTTGGTAAAAGGCTTGTGACAATCCAGGTCTTTGCATCAATAATGTTGCAATGAAAGTGTGCAAAGCAAGCACAGAATTGCAAAAAATTAAAAGGATATCAAAAGTTTAAGAGGATAATACATATAACAACAATCTGTGTTTGTTAGCACCTTTAAAATAGTACTTTGCAGAGATCAGGAGAAAAAAAGTAGGAACTCATAAGGACGTGGAAGCTTAGTCATGAAGGGAAGGATAAGGGGCAGCTGGAAGACGTGATTATAAAATGTTTCAAAATTGGAGACAAAGAAACAAGGGGAGAGTCCTTAGGGTCCTTAGTGAAAAGAACATTAGAGGAAACATATCCAGACATATTAAAGGCAAAGGTAAGTATTTCAACAACAAAGAGGTGAAGGGGGCAGCTTTGAAAAGATGAAACTTGAGTGTAATTTACAGTTTGATCTCAGCTCAGGAAGTCAGACAACATGCAGCTGGTCCCTTCCCTAACAGACATTTTTGAACCAACAAGTGTTAAGAACAGCATTCCTGTTTTGTTTATTCCCTATTGTAATAGCCTACAAATCACCATGCTTACTTAATTTAATAGGGAATTCTATTTCTTGACAACTAGGTTGCCTGTGCAATGCCATAATTCTTACATTATCAGACTCTTTACTTCTACAAGCCCTACCAGCTCCAAAATACTGTGAGACTACCTTATAATACATAAAGCCACAAGTGAGTCATCTCTTTATTAACACCAAACAGAAACCATCTTTAATTGCTTTGGAGAATGTAGTGATGAGCTACCTTCCTTCACTGCTGCAGAACATGCGATGCAGGTAGATTCATGGTGCTGTTAGCCACAGAATTTCAGGGTTTCAACCCAACGATAGTGAAGGATTGGTGATACAGTTCCAAGACAGGATAGCGGTGAAACCATGCACCTGCTGCCCTTCTCCTTCTAGAAGGCAAAGGTTGTGGTTTTTGAGCTGTCAAAGGAAGTTGCCAAGTTGCTGCTGTGTATAGTGTATGTGTTTGACTCTTATCATAAACTCTGTTCACTTGCCATAGACTGCACACTTTCCCTATCTACTCATTTATGCTGAAACAGAGCATGACAAATCTTGGTGTCTTGTTTGATCCACAGCTGAAGTTCAAGCTCAAAATTGTACTTGCTTCCACAATGGAGGACAAAGAAAGGTTGCTAGGAAATTTTAGGTGTAGATTGAATTTACTGAAGATGAGCACTTCATTGGTACAGAGTGGAAGGAAGAAGAGAAATTCATCATATTGCTTGGTAAGGTGGCTGATAATGAATTTGAGTAATAGATGAGATGAATGGAACATACTGAGTTTCTTAAAAAGTAAGTCGATTCAATAAAATTAGGGTGAAAGTTCAAATGGGCCTTGTTGTGGCAGTTTGGGTCAGTCAAGTGATGAAATATACAAGGTGCAGGGCTGGATGAACACAGCAGGCCAAGCAGCATCATAAGAGCAGAAAGGCTGACGTTTCGGGCCTAGACCCTTCATCAGAAGGGTCTAGGCCTGAAACGTCAACCTTTCTGCTCCTATGATGCTGCTT